TATATAACTTCATGCTGCTTTTCTAATCCAACAAGACTTAGGTTTGGGGGTTTTTTTTCAGAGTGGATAGTTTTGCAGCATTATATGTGGTAAGAAATGTTGCACTGAGATCAGGAGAATCCTGTGGCAATGTAAAAGCCAGGAGATATTGACCATATGAAGGATTAGACCCAAATTATGAATTTCTCCTTCGGCACTATTTTTCTGGAAAATGGTTTTACTTCTATTTGAATGGTGCTACTTGAAATAAATTATTCCTCAAATAAGACCAAATTTTCACTGTTTCCCCATGGCTTCAAATACTATTAAAATTACTTTTCTAGTTATTATGCAATAGGTAAAGCAAATAAAAAAAAAAGTGTGAATCCATCAGTATGATTTCCACTTTCCTTAGGTGGAAACAAAACTAATTCCTACTGTATGCTCAGAAGTATAACTTCTGGCTTTGTAATCTATGCTATCAAATTGAAAACATTATCTCCAGGCTCCTCAAATCTTATCCTGGCAGACACATCACAAATGACACCCCTTGGACTGCTTCTGGCAGGTGGAAGTCCTGCCACTGTCTCCTTAATTGCCTGGCCAGAGGGCAATGCTGTGTGCCACAGAAGCAGTAGGACTAGAGATCAGATTTTCATTCATTCTACACGGAAACCAAATCAAAATCTTCCACAGTCTGTGTGAAACAGAGGTCTATCAAGCTGTCTGCTTTGAGACAGAAGTCACTTTTCAATTTCCTCCTGCATCAGCACCAAGCAGCTCCATAAGAGGTTTCAGAAACTATTCAGATTAAAAACTGTGCCAAAGCCACTCTTCTCCCACAGATATTGGTGTAATTTGCTGCATTCCCTGCAACTAAGGGGCTTATTCACAAGGGGAAATCAGCATGAAAGAAGCTGAAAAAGTGATTTATTCCTAACTGCCTCCCCCAGTCTAGTTGCTGTGTGGATGCTGTGTCTACTACTGCTGTGAGGGTGCTCCCCTGCCACCACAGACAAGCCACCTCTCCCAGTGCTTGCCCAGAGGATAAGGTCCCTCTGAGTATGTCCAGCTGCCTACAGTGCTGACATGAAGCCACCTCTCCCAGTGCTTGCCCAGATGATAAGGTCCCTATGAGTATGTCCAGCTGCCTACAGTGCCGACATCTGATATATAACCAGTCAACAGACCTGCCCTTCAGTTGGGAGATGCCAAGCTGCACTCCCAGTCAGCCCCCAGCAGTAACTAGCTCACCACAAGAGCAGTGCAGATGGGGAGATGCCAGAGGCAAGGAGAACCTCTTCTCTATCCTCTTGGGTCTCCAACTGAATGAAGAGGTCCCTTATTGTCAGATCAGATTCAACCACCTGTCAGTTCTTACTCTGCATTTTCTTTTCCAAAACTATGACAGGAATTGTGTTGCTATTTCTTTGTTGAGCACCTGACACCTGAACAACACCCCCCACCTCAGGGGGCTGCTGGAGGAGGAATTGTGTTGCTATTTCTTTGTTGAGCACCTGACACCTGAACAACACTCCCCACCTCAGGGGGCTGCTGGACTGATGGGAAATGAAGAAAGCTGATGTGGACTACATGACCACAGTCTTGCTCTGAGAATAGAGGAGATGAAGAAATTTCTATATCTTTACAATTATGTCCAGTCATTTTTCATTCTCTGAACTGTAGATTGAGCCCTTACAGCTCCTAATTAATCTTTAAGCTCTTTTCATGCTATGAATTAAAAAGACCAAAGGCTGTTTTGTAACCTGAACCCACCTAGTTCTCTACAGCTAAACTTTTCCCCTCTGCACCCTTTTTCCTCCCCAAGGTAGGATGACTTTGTCATTTTACCTGCTAGGTATAATGTCTGCTCCATGCTATATCCAGCTACTGCTGGATGCTGTTAAAGAGATGCTAGATGACCTGTTCAATGCTGGTTGGATGGGTCAAAATCACAACAGGGAATGGGTTAAAATTCAACAGGCCTTGCCTTATAGACAAATGGATCAACTAAAATATTCTGAGAAGGCAGCTCTTCCTTTCAGCCACTTTCTCTATGCTGAAAAGGGGATGTACTCCTCTGAACAATTAGAACAGACTAAAGCTGATATGCTGGGACACAGGAGGAGACCTACATTTTAGATTTTTCATTGTGTTTGAAATGCCAGGCTGAAATAGGTTTTTACAACTGGCATCCAACACTTTTTCCCTCTCAGTCAAGGTCTCTTGCGTCATTTGCAGTCCAGAACAACTGCCCTGAAGGACATCACTGTTCCTGCACCAGTGCAGATGAAATAAGACTGATGATGCCCTGGTGAACACAGAGGACTGAATTAAGTCCTGAGCACAAGTGTATCTCAGTGAAATTAAACCAGTGCAAGATCGACCCAAGTGTTTGCAGTGTACTTCACCATCACTGGTGAAACAGAAACAGACAGAAGCAGAGCGAGAGGTAAGTCACAGCTTGGGCAAGATCTGTTTACTGGGAACATGCACAGCTGGAATAGACACATAACCTATTTTAGGCACTGAATGTAGGTTGTGTATGTCAGGAGGCTCTTTATGGTCAGTGCACAGAAGTAGGTGAACCCCTCCCAGAGGTGATTTAGAACATCTAAATTAAGGAATATTTAGGTTTGTAATTTGGATGCTCTGAGTTTCTCACCAGAGGTGTACTTCTTCATTGGTTGTGCAGAGAGCGAGGCTCCTAATTTAGGAACATCATGCATTCCTAAATCAGGGAGGTACTTACTTTAAAGCTGTGAATTACTCCTCCCTTCCCTTCTCCCTCACTGGCATCAGACTGAGGACAGATTCTGATTACAGTATTATTGGTTATAACTGTGACACAACTTCATTCATGTAATGGAAGTTCTAGACTGATAGTAATGAAAACAGTCTTGTCTGGGATGCTGAAATTATTGGTTGAGAATTGCTAATATTGAAATCTTTGCATCCAGCTGAAAATTTCAAGACCCAAATCTCCAATTTTCTAAACATATTAGTAGTAAACACACTTTAAGCTTTGTTTACTATCATGCCACATGTGCAGAGCATGGGGAAATGATAGTGTCCCACTCACAATCTGCTTGTTCATGGCCACTGTCTTACAAGAACATTCAGCTGTGGCAGAGAGAAACCACCATCAGGCTGATCAGTCTAAAAGTAAGCAGAAGATCAGCATGATGTGATAAATGAGACAAATGACGTTTGCATATCTTAAATGTCTGTTCGGATTCTACATGACACTTCCTACCTAAAAAGGGGTTGTACTTCTAGGCCTCTGCAATTCTCATAACAGACTCTCCTATTTTGAGGGCCATGACCCTATATCCTTAGGGCAATCAAGGGTTAAAGGCTCCTGTCTTCACATAGTGTGGCTTCTTAGCCTCCCTAGAAGATGTGCCATCACACACTTTATAAAAATTTGTTTGAGAAAGGGGAAAAACTGCAGTTTCAAGATACTTTTCAAATGTACTGAATTTCTGATACTGTCCTGTGGATTTCTAGTGTATCTGATTTTTGAATGTTTAATTTGCTAAGGGAACTGCTTCTTCCCTGGCATGAAAACACAATTATTAAAGCTCATTTCATTACTTTGAGACTGATAGCACAATTTGGGTCATTGTTTAACATTCCATCACTATGAATACAATTAAATTCTCTAATGATTAATAGGATTTGTTACTTTAAATAATCACGCTGAACCTTATTTGCAATACTTATTAGGCTTTTAACTTCCATAGGAATAATGTATCTCTAGCTGTACAGCCACTGTTGGAAAGTTGCTACTCATTTGTAAACTATCCTTCTTTTTGACTGCTATGGGGACAATTATTCTGCAACGTGGAGCCCACAGTTGTGTATTGCCTCTCATCCAATCCTATTGCTATGAAAGGTACCCTCAGAGAGATTTCCTCCTGGACTTTTCAAATCAGTTTTTAGGACACTTTGCTCTTTGCACTTGCATAGAATGGAAACACATTCTATGCTAAGTCAAAAAAGTGCCAGGAGGACATTGTTACCTAACACAGGCAGTATCCTGCCGAGCCTTGGCGAGGAATGAGTCCTTTCTGGCTGAGCCCACACAGCTGGAGAGAAATTTAGAAGGGGACCATGAAGTCTGGAAAGAGCTCACAGCCCCTTCTAGGGATAATCCTTCCTCTTCCCCCTACTGCTGCCACTCGCGTTCTCCACTCTAAGCTGCAAGGAATTTTAAATGGTCATAAAGCCAAAACACCTCCCGCTCCCTCTGCGAGAGAGACAGAAATGTGACTTCCACAGGGGTGTTCAAACAGCAATAAAGCCAAAACACCTCCCGCTCCCTCCGCGAGAGAGACAGAAATGTGACTTCCATAGGGGTGTTCAAACAGCGAAGAGCTGTGTTTCTCCCATGAGGACCACTCCAGTCTCTCCTGTGCTCACCTCACCTCTGGCACTGCCAGATACCAGTGGTGCCTGTGATGAATCCCCATGTGCCAAAGCTTTCACTCACAGGCAGAAAACCACAGCAAAGACCAGTTGCCCATGGAATACTGCAGCTGCTCTGCTGTACACACATACAGCATTGCCATACTACTGTCTTCATGTATGTTATCTCCCTCTCATTAAATAATATCAGGAGTGGTTTCAGCTGGAAACATTTTGACTCAAAGGGACTTTCTGTTCCCCCAGAGCGATCCAAACAGAAGACATTCTTGGCAGAAAGTGCTGAAGCTCGATGATGAGCTCTCATCATTTGATGTGGTCCTGATCCTCACATCAACTTTTAAATGGACACAAGTGAGAGCAAAAAGAATTGCAGTGGTTTGTAGAGCCTGCTCTCCCTGGATGTCAGCCACAAGTAAGTGCACAGATCATCCCTCTATATATCAAAAAGCCAGCCCCTTCCCACTTTTTTATTCCCAGTGAAGGAATAACAGAAATGAAGACAGTTGGCTACAAATTCCTATTCAGCTGTTTTCTTCATCATAAATTCATACAAGCAGATGTAACAGATAGGAAAAAACAGAAACACATACATGTTCTGATGTGAAGGCAACCAGTCTGGGAATAGCTGCCATTCCTTTTTCTTTAACTTCTGGGAACATCTTGAAACGTGCAATCAACATAGCATACATGTTAGATATGGCACCACCTGGAGTCCACAGTAATATACTGTTACTTTTTCTATGCATTGTAATATCATTTCAGAACAAAAGACAAGTCTTGCTGCAGGTTTTCTAACTCTAATGCTAATGTTTCTGCCACATGGCAGAAACATGGATTCCTCTTCCTGATGCTCCTCATGGATGGGCTGTGTAATAACAGAATCCTCTACACCCAAATAAGAATTTATGCAAAAAGTCCTACTGCAAAAACTGACTGGGGCTTCCTTTCAGCCTCATTCTTGCTACCATCTCTCCCTTAGTTCTCAGTCTTAGCTTTTCAAATGCCATCAGCACATAATCCCCACTCTACTCCACCCCCCAAGCAGATGCCACCACAAGGCAACTTCCAAAGGGACTTCCAAGTGCAACCTAATCTGTGCTCTCCCCTCCCAAATCAGGGTGGTGTTTCATGCCCCGACTTTGAGAAAACCCACCCAGTGAGTCCCAACAGATACTATCTTCTGGATTACTGGAGTGGGGGGAGGAAAGAGAAAGGAAAAAGGGTAATTCTAACAAATATTTTCCGTTTTATTTGTCCTCTGGTGGGAGCAAGGGGAAAAGGTTAAATGTCCCTAACACACGCTTTAAGATTACTAGAACACATTGACTTAAAATACCCATTTGAAGATGGATATGTTACCCACTTCAAGATATGTATCAGATGACAGCTCTGCAGTGGTCTGTTCCCATATTTCAATCATCAACACACAAATTAAAAATGAGCATTTCATTTTTCCTTTTTGAGATTCTTACAAATTGTGTCTCAGTGTCTACAGTGGAACACTGTTTGGGTTTACATTAATGCTGCATGAGCACTATGGGAATATAATGCAGAGGCTGAGTACTTTGGCACATGTATACACACAAGCACACACACACAGAGACAGGTGAAATCCATCAGGTTTATCCTCTGTGTGTATATATATATATACACACACACAGATTGATTATATATTGATGTTTATGCACATATATTTATATAAAGCAAAGGTGTATACTGATCATGGCTTTTAAATGAACAGGTCAAAGTGCAGCTAAGGTAGAGTTCAACTAATGCAACACTCATCCATCTAAAAATGAAGTGAAGAGCACAAGATATGTACTTTCAGAAGACAGTTCAGCTCATCTAATGGTAGCTATTTGTGGCAGGTGGGATGGCTTGTCCTGCAGAGGCATCCACTCCTCTCCCTTGAATACACAGGAGCTGCTGTAACTAGCCCAGAGTAGACACCCAACACTAGGGTAGACACCCAATGCTTGGGCAGCCAAAGCAAGATAAGCTAAAATCCACCCTTTAAGCAGATGAAGGAAGCACTGCTGGGTATCTGTGCTGGAAAATTTAACACTGTTTTGACTTTTGTAAGATTTGTTTTTATCTCACCGGAGATACGTATGCTGCTCCACAACCTATAGAAACTGTGCCCTTCATTTCTAATCAGTGTCCTAGCTCTGGTTTTGCAGTGAGGCTGCTCCTGCCCTGGGATTTCCCTGAACTCACTGGCCTTCCTGTGAATCCAACAGAAAATGCTACAGAAGGATGGCATCACTAGCATAGGGGTAAGTACAAACAGGGCTTTTTCTTCCCATTTTAACTATCTTGAGAGATACTAACATATTTCTACACTTCTTTTCAAAAAAGACAAAACAAGAAATGGAAAGAATAAGAGGAAATGCTTGGGTACCTGTCCCTAAAAAATGCAGATGTCACATAATGGCTGCTGTTGATGATTTAGGTGACTGAACTAAGGTGTCCAAATTCAAGAAATTTGGCCTATCTTGTTCAAAGTCATTGGCTCATTGTCAAAAGAATCAAGACTGAAATGTTAAGTTTCTCCAATAACAGGCTTTCCTATTAGTATTTATTACCTAGTCATTTAACCTTAAGCTTATTAATAAGCCTGCATTCTGCCTTTAATTTTGTAGCTGTGTTTATATCCACAGCTAACTGCAGGCAACAAAACACACCTACAGAATCTGGAGAACATAATCAGGCCTTTATGCTTTGTATGTATTGATACTGTATATTTTATTCCAGAGAATGCAGAGAGCAAGAACCTTTTCTTTGCAACAATAAGGTCTTCAGCTGAAGCCAGGACAGTTTGAAGCAAGAAGACAGCATAGAGATGCTTTTGATTATTGCCTAAAAAAGCAGAACCTGCACACTGAGTATTGCTGCCTTAAGAGAGTGAATTAGAAAGATGCACTTTTCACAGACCAGAAATTGCAGAGAAAGGAAGGATGAGAGGGGGCAGCCCTGCAAGTGGGCAGCCAAGAACACGTCTGCTGGAGAGCCTGTTCCCATGCAGGTTTCAGCTCAATGAAGTGAGCTCTGCCATCTGACACACCAGCAACACCCTGGCCCCCAGGTCAGGCAGGGACCTCTCATAGCCCCAGCAGGGCCAGCAGTTCCTCCTGAGGCATACACCCTTCCTGACTCACACTATCACTAGCTCAGTTTGCCAGACTTGGGCAGATCTGGCGCATTTTCTGAGCCTTTCAGCCCCATCTGCTGCCCCTGCCCAGCTTCTGCACAGCAGGACTGGCTGAGCAGTGTTGCTATTGCTCTTCTCTCCCCTCTCAGGTCCCTGATAGCCTGGTGGGGTTATTGTGGCTCGAGCCTGCAAGGTGAGGCACTAAGACCAGCTGTACCAAGTCAGGTCAGTAATCAACCACTGGTCAGTCTCCAAAAGCTTTGGCTTAGGTCCTGGGCTTGTGATACACACTTAGATGCCCAGTGTGATGGAGGCCAAAGTTCTCAGGTGGACCTCTAAGCTGTCAGCAAGGAAAAGCTGTCAGAGCTTTTGCTTTTGGTGCTTTTTAGGCAATGCCAACTCTTCTCATCTATTTCTCCACATCCGTGGAAAGACCCAGAACAAAACTCCTGCACCACTTCCCCCACATGCATTCAGATGCGAGAAGTTGAAGATAAGGCTTGCCTGACCTTCATGCCCTTGGATAGCTGAATGTCATAGGCTGTTATCAGTGAGGCTTTTCCTTTGCTCAATAGTGCACTCTTTTCCTTTCCATTAGGTCAATAAACTTCCTTTACAGAAAGGCTTCTTCCACAACAGCTATCAGTCTGCTCTCTTTTGACAAGCCAAGATGTTATGCCCAGTGTAAATTCTTTCAATATTTTGTAATTTGGTGAGACAGACAGGCCAAAATTTTGAGCAATGAAATTTGAGAGTAGAGAGGTTGTGACACAGGGTATAAATCAAAACAGTAAGTGGAAGACAAAAAAGCCTTAACAATGTAGTACTTGTCAGAGTAAATGGTTTCTCTACACTAATTTTGTGCCTTATTGACTAGCCCTGAAGGAAACAGGTTTCTAAGCCTTTAAGCACTCAGATTAACTAGCCATCCAAGTACCCCACAGAGCAGAACAGGCCAGCTCCACACGGAAAGCTAACAGCATACTCTAATGTTGGCAGGGTCTTCCTGACTCCACTAAAATTACTGGAAGGGATGCTATGTCTTTCCCTCTTTCCTCCAATCTCCCCTGCAGTGATGGCGAGCTTTGTTGTGTTTCTTCCCTCTGTTACTATTACAATAGTCTTTCCATTTCATGTAATCCATAAAAAGTGGGGGGAAAGCAAAACTGCAAGGCAAATGTCTCTTCTGATTATGTTTCCCATGTGCCATTACAGCTGCTTATCATGCAGTGCAATTTGCTCAAACACATCCTCATAATCGTATCCCTGAAATTCATAAACATGCAATACTTTATCTCAGAGGCCACTGGTGGTTATTAGCAAGTGTCCTCTCAAACATGCATATTTAATTATATTTACTCTTTAGCTACAGGGGATGTCATATACCATAGTCTGAGAAATAAAGAAAGCTTGAAATGTCATGTACCAGGTGAAAATATCCCATCGCCACAGCCCCCTGGCCAGCCAACCATCTCTCTCATTTTCCTTAGTGTGACATATTCCAAAAGTACAAACACTGGAGCAATTTCATAGGTGAACCTGAAATGTAGTAATGTCCATATTTAATGTTTTCATCTGCAACACTAACACATCTTTTTCCAATATTACATTACACTGTAGCCGCAATATACTCTATCTTGCACCCAACAGAGTTCTGTTACACAATAATTTCAACGGTCTTCCTTCCGATTTGACATCAAATGTCTTGAAGGAGAAATGCAAAGAGCACTTGAGAATCCACTTCCACCCACTTTAGTGAAAAAAGTCTTGCCCACCTCTTGCAGGCTCAAGGCTTTGCCCAACAGTCAAGAGATGCTGGGCAGAGCCAGCCCTTTGCCTTTCATAAACCCATATGCATATCTAGGAGCACACATGTCAGCAGTCCTATTCATAGTGACAAGACAGTGCATGAGGCTAAGCAAGCACACAAATATGCTTCCTAGTCCCAAAGTGAAAAAAACCCCACATTTTAAATTCTGCACCTCTATTATAGAAAGCAATGACTCTACCTGCCCCATGTATGGATTGTACACAACTCCTCTGCATTGATGCAACTGTTCACTTAGCACACCTTTCATTTTATATACTTATGCATGCAAAATGCTAATCTCTGTATATCTTTTGTAATTTTGGGGGCAACAAAACCCACATCATATTAGTATGATGAAATTTTATAGAGGGCAGCCTACAGGACAATGTTGAAAGTCTTTGTGCAAATAACTGTAGTAACCATTTAAAAACACGTAATATTTTCCCCTTCAATCTTAACATAAAATTATTCTTTCATTCAGCTACAGCATCTTATGTTTTTAGTGTATAAATGTAAAATTATATTATATATTATTATTATGGGGGGAAAATCAGTTACTTACATGTTAGTATTTGCTGCTGATGTCAGCCAGTCTGCTGCCAATCCAACCATGTCCAATCCAGTTGAAAGTTGATTAAAATATCTAGGGTGCCCTGCATAAGATGGAAAATGTTATCAAAAGGCTGATGACTCGGAATGAAACTATTCAGTGCTGAACAGTGTATTTACCTCCAGATTTCTATAGAGAAGGAAGTGCTTTCATAAGGTATAAAACAAAGCAAACAGCAGTAAATACATTTCTTGGAAAAGGCAGGATTTCTCTTCCATTCCAAACTCAGTAAAATCAAAGTAATTACACTGAACGCAGAATAATGAATTCCAACATTCCCTATTATCCTTTCAATATGCCTTGGAAATTAGCACATCACTGCCTCACAAAAATAGCTGTTTGCTCCCGTTACTGTGTCACATGTTGTCACTGGATATGGTTTTGCCTGACTAGGTTTGAAAAGCATGCACAAGACACCATCTGAAGAGCTTGCCAGGACATATAACATCAGTGATGAATGGCTAATGATTATAATAGACAGGGCGAAATGAGAAAATGGAGTATTTTGGTGACTGCTTTGCACATGACTCAATGGCTCGTAATTGTACGAAGATGGCAGGAAAGGTGGTGGTCCTTGTCACTTCTTCCCTGTCAAGGGTGCAATTACAAATAGCCTGGCTACTCACAGTTGTGATTTAAAAAAAAAAAACATAAAAAACCAGCACTGCCCCAGCAGAATGAAGCACAAGAATATACTTGATGAGCAGATAGTCCATTTACCTGGTTAATCTAATAGGCTCCTGATTTTTTCCTAAAATCCTGCTATAGATTTTTGTTAAAAACATGCCTAGAGCAATTAAACCCAGGAGCCATTAAAACTCCATTTTTACTGGTTGTTCCCTGCAAACCCCTGGTAAGTGGCATAATTACTGGTACCAATTATGGATGGCTCACAAGTACTTAAATGCCATCCGACTCAAAGGAAGACAGTCTCTGCTTGGAAAACACCTGTCCTGACCCCCAGATGACACACTGTTATTGCCATCAGAGAAAACAAAAAGCTAGAGCAAGATGATTGAGGAAATGCAGACCCAGCACCGAGAGAAAACTTATCTTCGGTCTCCTGTGGCCTCTTATCAGGCACGGACACATGGCTGGCAGAACAGCATGGGGAATTGCTCCCTGGTTCCCACCCTATAGCATACAAAGGCAGAGTAATCGGCCTGAGCAGTCAGACCAGAGCTGAGGATATGGGGCAGGGGGTGACACATATGCAAAATCCAGCTCCTGTGCCCTTTACCTGAGCCCAACCGCTGCCACAGCCATCCAGCCTGACTGCATTTTGCACTGAGCCTTCCCTGCCAGGGATAGGAACTGCTGGTCTGTGCTGCCAAGGACAGGCAGCCAAAATCTCGGAGGCACTGAGGAATGATGATGAAATCCAGCAGGATGAATAGGATCCAGCTCCCTCTCTGCACACTTGTGACTGGGGTTGGTGGACCAGGGGGGCACACATGCACCCTGCCACCACCACCACAGCCTCAGCAATCCTGCCCCAGGGGCTCTGCCTGCAGAGAACTGCATCTCCCCCAGTGGTAGGATTTTGAGAGAGATTTTTAGCATTTATAGCTCAGGTTCAATATCACAACTGGACTCCAAGATGGTTCCCAAATTTCATCAGAAAGCAACAGAAAATTGGGAGCTAAAGCCTTTAGTGGATCTGGGCTACAGGAAAGCTCAAAGAGGTGACAAAAACTCCTGCTTTGTGTATAAATATCCACACTGAAAAGCTGGGCAATAGCAGAATTCACAACTGCAGCTGCAGCATCTCAGCAGCTCCCTGTCAGCCCCATACCCAGCCTCAGGCCATGGCCCTGTTGTCACTGCTTGTTTCTTCAAGCAAACCTCACGGTACACCACCTGCTTTGGAAACCACAGTACGAACAGGGCTGGCTGCACGTGGGGGTCGGGCAGCCATACCCTGGAGTGAGTGAGGTAGGGGAAGCAGCACTGTGTTCCTAAAGAGATGTCAGTACAGAGAGAGCAGAAGCTGCTGCTGCTGCTGGGAGAGCTCCCAGCACCCACACCTGTGATAGGGCCCCCTCCATTCAATGCCTTTCCCTTCTGCAGCATGACTGTAACACACAACAGCAAAGAACATACTGCCCCAGCCTGACCCCTGACTCTGTTGCAAGGGTTTGTCTATCTGTGTGACACCCCAGTATGTGAGCAAACTCTCTTCCCTTGGCTAGATGGCCACGGAAAATTTTGGCTTTGTTTAAAACATAGGCTCTGCTGGCCAGGTAAGGAGTTTGTGAGAGATGCTAAAAAATCACTATCTGGGTACCATCTGCCTGAAATGCACATCCTTTGTCGTGGTTGTCACTGAACAAAGAGGTGACTGGAAAAAGAGACTGACAGAGTGTGAGAAGCAGGGGAGAGGTGAAAATAGGAGATTATTACTTACAGGTTGGTTTAGCAATAGTGTATTTAGAGGTATCCCAGAGTAAATCAGGAGATGAGAGCCAAGAACCAGGGCCAAAGCACAGGGACAGCCAGGGCTGGGCTTTCCCTGCCGAGGGCGTGCCTTTGCCCCATGCACCCTCCCAAACCTACTCCCTCCTGCACTTGGTTTGAGGCATGGGCATGCCCAGCGTGAATACACAGCCTCTGCAGCCTCCACAGGGAAACAATGAGAAGGGCCAGGCAGAGATGGGCAGCATGGATAAAGGCACGACCAGCAGCACTCAGCCTGACCTTGCTCACAGCCTCACCACATGCTAAGCTGGCATCACTGCCTGCCAGGGAGCAAGGCTGTGCCAACACCAGCTCCTCATGCCCTTTCTAGGGTTTCCAAGACATTTTTAAATGCTTGTATTTCAATTCCCCTGTTCAGTTAATGTACAATGCAATTTTGCATCCATCTTTCTCTGCATTCACAGTCACTGCCTTTTACATTCTCTCAGCAAGAATTTTGTCTCTGCTGGTAGAGGGGGCAGAAAGTGTGGCTCTCCTGAGCACCCCAGTGAGCTGTGGCATGCAGGCAACACCTGGGAGCAACCCACACCTGCCCTCAGCCGAAAAAATGAGCCATCTGGCTCCTCGAAACCCCGGACTTGGAGATCCAGCTGTGAGGCTAACCGAAGCAATACGATTTATTTTTCAATCAGCCTCCCAGGCCCCTGCAGCCAAACGCAATCCATGAGGGGCCGTGTCAGAAGGGCTCCTGAAGCAGGAGTGGAGGCAGACCCTGCCACCATAAACCTCACCACACTGTCCTTCCTCTGATGGCAATTCCAGTGTTTTACTCCAAAGCACATGCCAAAGGGCTCCGGGTGTAAATCCTGTGCGTTTCTTGAGCCACCCCCCGGGCTGGAGCTATCACCCAGGATGCTGAGGAGCAGTAGCAGCCAAGCAAGGCAGCTCTACATGCCCCAGTCAAACCTGCCACATTTCACACAACCCCCCAGCACCAGTCCTCAGACCTCAAAAACATGATTTGCATTAAAACAAATTTTAAAATGCCAAGAAGGGAAGCCTCAGATATTTACAGGGAGGAAGAGAAATGGTAACATTGTTTTGAAGGGTCTTTTCTGGATGCACAAAATGAAATAGGTTATAACAAAAAAAAAACGATTTATGAAAAATCACCGAAGAAATACTATTTTTAGATTTCCCAGAATCACAGATCCCATGTTTTACATCATTCTGTGAAAACGTTTCCTATCCCCTACCCAGACACATCACACGGATCACTGGACTGATCGACTTTGTTCCTGTGGACATCGTTTATCTAACTATTTATTGCAATATTTTACAGGCGTTGTGAGAGCACCCGACCCATGCATCAAAAACACATGGCTGGCCATTTCCATCCCTAAACGAGCAGGATCACACAGATCCCCAACAATCTTTTTCCCGGGATCAGTCAGTCCGTTCTGTTCCCAAAACCTGTTTTTTGTTTTCCTCTCAACCTCTAGTCACAAATCAGCCTTTTGTCTCTTTCAGTAATTGCTACATATTTATTTTTAAGCAATTTCTCAGTAATTCAAATTCCCACTAAGAGCTCCCCGGACTCCACATTATTTCCCAATCATAGCCGTAATTGCGGCTCCGCTTTCTGCCCGCTCCGCCGCAGTTTATTTAAGGTGGCCCCGGCGTGGAGCCAGGCGCTTCCCCACGCCTGGGCGAGCCCCACGCTGCCTCTCCACCACGAAACCTGGGCGGTGCACGACTAACGGGGAGCCCCGGACTGATAGGCATCAACCCATCCCTGCTCTCCCCAGTAGAAAACAACAACAAACCGTTACCGAAACAGTGCGGGCTTCGGTTTTATTGCTTGAGCCTAAAATTGAGACAAATCCCTCAATATACCTGTGCATTTTACTAGATTCTCCTACTTTTATGTCTTGCAGGTAAGGGGAAAGACACGGCAAATGGCCGCTCAGAACTCCCATTTACAGGATGTTTATTACGATTTTGGCTGTTAAATGGACTGTTCCTTGCTGCCCCCTGTACAGGGACGCCCACCCGAGCAGGGCTCCCCCGAGCTCCGTGCCTGCCGCACCTCTGGTCTGCAGGGAGCGAGGGGCGATCTCCAGGGCATCACACGTGTGAAATGGGTGAAAAGGAACGGCGGAAAGCAGCCGAAGGTGGTGCAAACCAAAGGCTGCTCAGCGGCACACCCGGCAACTCCGACACACAGACGCATTAATTTCAAATGGGAAAGGGTGTGCGAGGCTGCACTGACAGCTACAGACACAGGGTTGCTGGAGTGTTTTATCATTTTGCAAAACGATTTCTGTCTCTCCTAGAAATTGCTTCCAACTGACAAAATAGAGTCGCTGCTTCAATCTTTCACGTTTCAAGAAAAAATGAAATGACACCTTTAATCAATGAATGAGACCATACGGAGTAGAAAATGAGCATGGCCATTACCTGTTTTAATTGCATATTTCAGAGTTGTTCTGCAGTTCAATAAAATTTCTTCCAAGGTCTGTGGCTGGTCTGCCAGTTCCCAGTTATATTCCTGGAGCAGCTCATTTGGGTAATGGAAATCAATAACTTTTGTTGATCTATCAAAACTTTTCACCACATACTGGAGTAAAATGTCCACAACGTCTTGTAGGAAAGACATAGTTGTTATTTCTCCATTGCATGTTGGCAGAAGATCTGTGAACGGATACATTTAAAAGTTAAGTTTGTTTTACGACCACATGCATAGATTTTGGACAAAGGCTTCTCCCATTTATGTTTAGCAAATCTTTTCATTATGTTTAATACAAATAGATTTTTTTCAATTTAATAAGAAATTTGGTAAGGCTGTATTATAAGGAATGTTCTGAGACATATCCGGATTTAAGGTACCAACTGTATCCTATACAAAATAGCAAATTTTGCCCACCGTATATTTCAGGCCAATTTTTAAGACGGTGAGAGAGAACAGGGAAACAAGAAAAAAGGGAAAACGAATCTCACGAAAAATAAAGATGGAGCAACAAACGCTACAAGAAGCGCCCTAAAAACTGCCATTTCCCTTGCATTAAAATATCTTCATGGTGACTCTCCTATGCAAATAACTTGTTGATAATTTAATGCCTTTTTAAGGCGATGCTGTACGGTCTCTCACGGTACACAAAGCTTTTGTTTAAGCGCGATTAAATCGGAGCCGAACTGGAGTGGAAGCCCCTAATTTGGGGTGCCCGGGGGGCGGTCAGGCAGGCAGCAGCACCTGCAGCTCTCCCGCGGCGGTGCCAGGCGGGCAGAGCTCGTCCCGGGCTGCCGAGCAAACGGGAGAGTTCCTGACCAGCCCATGTCTGCGGAAGGCTGAGATCTACTCGGCAGCGGAGCCGCTACCTCCAAGGTCAGAAAAGATGAAGTGTAAAAATACCTCGAATTAAAACAAAGGAGTAAGAGAGCGTTCCTTCTCCCTCCTCCCTCCAAACCGTAATTATATCGCACGGTCTTCAACGGGAAGGTCGCTGGTGTCAGTGCTCCTTAGAAAGAGCAACCTGCAGGCTCCAGCACGAGGGATTTTTTGTTGTTTGGGTGTTTTTTGTTGGATTTGAGACATGCCCAGCTGGGGCTGGGGG